ACATCTAAATCTATGTATCTATATAGCTGGTAGTATTACTGTATTTCACTTTCTTTGTAAACGCGTTTTGTTAACACCCGAATCACAGGTTGATTCTGTTTTTTGGTCTGTTATGGTCTGTAGCTCAAATCCTGCTTAACTAAAAATTAGACACAAGAAGAGTATTATTGGACAATGTTGTGAGGCTATGGAGGAATTTCTCTGTAAACTGAAGAGTTATAGAGGAGACAAGTTGTATATCGCTTCTTTTGACACTCGAAAAAAAAAAACATTCCAATGTTAATGCGACACAAAGATAATGTGGTGTATTGGTAGTTACTAAAAAAATTTAATCATTTAATCTCTTTACTGTGCACATTTTAGTAGCTAAGCTAAGCATAAAACACAGAGGAGGATAACAAAGGTCATAAAGGTCATAAACGATATTAATTTAGGGACATAAACATATTTTGTAAACTGTATGTTGCTGTTATTTGTATTTTAAAGACAAAATACACACCAATACTCAATTTCTCCCTAAACGTTTTAAGCACCAAAGTCTTACATGTGGTTGACCTTCCAACCATATTACTGTAATATTTGTATTGCTGTTTCAGTGTTACATAACTTGCCTCAGTGGTGCCACGGCTTAAACGACCGATTTACAGTACTGTATTAGCGTGAGGTCAGGTCTTCAAATCCAGCAATCGCTGTGAGTTTTCTTTTAACAGAAACACTTCTTTGAAAAACTAAAATAGCAAATATTATGGACACTACAGTATATTGACATTTTTTATATTTCAAAATAACGTTCGTACTGTATGTACAGTACACAGCGGTACCGCAGGTTGAACTGTAGGGCACAAATCCATCTGAGCCCAAAAGCCCAACATATTAATGTGCATTTGCCTGGTGCTGCGTGGTTTTCAGCACTCTCTGCGGGAGTGCTGGCTGTGACGAATTAAACCTGTTTCAAAGGTATTTTCAAAGTAGAAGGGGGTGAGTCTTCCAGCGAAAGACACCGCCTCCCCTTCCAAAACGAATTTTTTTGCTTACAGTAGTAGTACTTAAGTACAGTACAGTAAGTACTTACAGTACTTACAGTACTTACTTACGGTAGTACTTCTCGCGTTAAGAAAGCTAGGTGTTAGCATAAACTATAAGTAATCAATAATATTAAATTTAGCACTGCAATAAATTGTGCTTTTAATAAATTCTATTCTACTCTGAGAATGTAGGGGGGAGGAAAAATGACGGCGGTCTTTTCACTGATAAACTTGTGTCAAGCTGTCAACAAAAACCAGCTGTCAAAAAAAGTTTTTTTTATAAAAAAGTCAATTGTGTGTCCATAATATTGCTATTTTGATATTGCTAATTGCTATTGCTACTGAGTCTCTGTGTCTACAGTACATTGTTTGTGAACAAACCGGTTTCACAGGTATTTTCAACCCCCAGCCACTGTTGTTTCATCAGTTGTTATCCTGTAAAGCACTTTGAGGAGCCACCTTTAAAGGCGCTATATA